TATTATTATAGTATATACATATAAAAAGTAATTTATTATGTATGGTATTATGTATGTATACTTTTGTTATTATGTATGCATATACATATAATTCCTAATCGTTGTTAGACATATATACATAAATATCGAATTTGAAGTTGTGCTTTCTAGCCACCTACACATGTAATACATAGGCCACTCTAGCGCGTGCCATTCTTCGACGTTTTATGGCTCGTACTTGTAGTCGAACGATGGGAATGTTGGCGCCATTTGCACAAACACGTGACACATACTTACACATACCGTGTGCGCGCGAGTACGCACATCAGATACGCATCTCCGTTTACACATACATATATATACACAATAAAAGAGTCAAGTAAAATCCGCATCGATCCAATCTCACAATCAGGTTCATTCTACCGAGACCATACTAGCACAACCATGTCCGATTTCTATCAAATACTATACACCATGCTTCTAATACTGATTAAATCTTTATCAATGTCTACCATAGAATCTTTCTTTTCTACTAATTATGTAGAAGATTTTATTTTTATTTGAAATTGAGGACGAGGAAAAAGGGGGAAGGGATATTTTCTCTGTCTTCTCAATTTCTCTTTTTTTTTTCTTCCCCCATGTTTCCAGACTAATTTATCTTCAAATTTACGGATCCCTAAAATATCTCCGTTATTTGTGGTTTTATAGACAGAATCCTTCCTTATGTGATGAAGTTAACTCTAATTTGAAAGATCACATGTACCGATAAAATCATTTTCTTTTTTTCTTTTGTTTTACTAAAATCATTTTTTGTAAAGCATTGTTTTTTTTAAACTAAATCATATTTTTTTTTATTGGTATATTAATTGATCCATGGCGTATACGCACGTGCACACGTTTGTATACATGAATATGGCCACGATCGTGTATGTGTAGAATCGATCTCAACTCGAGAACTTGTAATAATATTTTTCCAATGTCCAAAGTGAATTGATAACCGTGCTACCTTCTCGGGAAAACATAGAACCCAGGCATGTAAACTCATACGTTGGTTTATTCTTACCAACGTGTATATTGAAGACACTAAAGAATTTTCTCGATATATTTTAGGTTATGACGTTTACTTAACTCAAATTTGATTGATCATATATCTAAGATATTTTCAAATTGTACTAATTTGATTTGACTAGAATTTTATTCAAAAAAATTTTATTTATCGATCATTCGAATGAATATCATTGAATCCATTTTGTTTTCGTTTAAAAAAAATAAAAAATAAAAATACAGTATTAAAAGAATCAGTATCGTCTGTTTGTTATAAATTTATCTCAAATAATTCAAATAAAATATCTGAGATTTAATAAATCTCTTGATTGAAATAATTTTGAAAATTTGATATTTGTATTTAAATATAGATATATATACTATAAGCATATCTTCAGATCGACGCCATTATAATACTAAGGCGACATCGTAATGGCCGACTTACACCTAAAGTATCTTGAAAAAAATTCAACTTCGTCGGTATTCAATCCGACGATCGATCAAATAGATATTATTTAAGCAAACATTGTTTTTTTTTTATCGACAGATATTCTTAAATTTTGTGCTATTATTATAAAAATTAGTAAACATTTTTTAATTGAATAATTTGCCTTTAAGGAAAACAAAAGTCCAACAAAGTTGGAGTTAAAACAAAAAAAAAAGATTATCGTTTGACAAGCTCCCTGTCGATCGTTGTTCTACATTTTGCGATATCTGTCCTTGTGCGACACAGCACTCATTTAAAAAGTATTTATCAGTAATGGTGACATGTACGCATAATTTAAATTTATCATTACAAACCGGACAACGACAGTACGTAACACTACTCAGCAATAGGTTAAAAAAAATATATATGATATATATATATATATATATATATGAGTAACACATAATGCAGTAAAGGAAAATTTCAAAAAGCATACTTATTAAAATAAACATGAACAAACAATGAATAAATGTGATACAAAATTATTTCATTTCTTTAGCTGTTTCTCTTTTTCTTGTTTTATTAATTAATTTTTTTTTGTTCTCGTCATTGACCTAGAAACAGATAAACAAATTCAATGTAAACTAATTAATTTTAGTTATAACCTCAACTTTACTACGATCATTAGTCTTAAATAATTTTTGACATTAATTTTAATTTAAGTTATTTTTTTATGTTTATTTTTAAAAGAAAAAAGTAAAAATTCTTTAGCCATCTTTAACAGAACTCTAAATTTTATCCGAATAATTTACAAGATCTTTCATCAAACAATTATCATAATTAATTCGACATGTAAAATATCAAGAAATTATTTCGAATTTTTCTTTCAATATTTTTATCACTCGTGATATATGTAATCTTAATATTCCAACAATATTATATTCGAATAATAAATTCTTTCAAAGTACGTCGTTATTTATTTTTGCTCTTCGTGAAAAAATCCGTTTTTAACGCCATCGTTATTCCGCTAGATTTCGCGTCGATCGCACTCGTGAACACGTGACATTTGGCGCGATAAAATAAAATTGTCTACTTTCAAATTGGTATTATCAAAAAAAAAAAAGTATTGAATAATTTTTCTCAGACGATAGAAAAGTATTGTATTTAAAGTTTTATATTTAAAAAAAAGAAAAACTATAAATTGAGTTTACCTTAATATATATTTATATATATATATATATATATCTATATATGTAATGCATTTGTTAAAAATCAACAACATAAGCACGCGTGTATGAAAAGATGTAAATAAGAATTACATATATACGAAGAGAGAGCGAAGATTACAAATGAGAAAATGTCACGACACTGAGGTCAAGCTTAGCAGTTAAGAATTGCGAATGCAAATCGTCAGGATTGACCCATTTATCATTTACGTAAAAACAATAAATAACTCTCCGTGATTTTGTATTATATACGGGGTGTCTCAGCTAAATTGGATCACCTGAATATCTCCTATGTATACAATCGTATTAAAAAAACAAAAAGAAACTTCAAAGGAAGAAGTAGCACATTGTAAAGAGGAGTGGTTGGTGGGGTGGCAGGACTCAAAAAGCTGAAAAGATTTTTCCTCAAGGATATTTTTTAACGAAATTTCATAATTATAGATGTTTCTTTAAATGGAACTATATATTTTGTTTGCGATATTTTTATAAAGCATGAAACCAAAAAAACAAATAAAAATGATCTTCATGATATCATTCCGATCATTTATTTCTTACATAAAAAATTGTTAACTTTTAATTCATGAACATACATATACGTAATAAAGATTTCAAAGAAAAATCTGCGACATTATTCTACTTTAGGTATTTCAATGATGTATATATATATATATATAATAATTCTTAAAAAGAAAAAATAAGAAGACAACTTACTCGTAACAAATTAATGTATAAAATTAGTAGATATAGAAAAAAAAAGACTAGAAAAGTATCTAAATGAAACATGCTGTATGGAGTGCAGTCTTCAGCAATGAAAAAATTATTAATCGTATTTGCAATTGAATTGAGATTATTAGGAATTCTGTTTTTCTTGTTCCTTAAACTAGAAACACAAATAAACTAAACATTAGAAAAATGTTAATCGGCATGGTATAAAAGATTGTTTATATAATCAGCCAGAAATCTTAGTTTTCTTAATTTATGTTCAGTATGCATACGTTTCGAGACTTTCTATCTGAAGACTAATCAAGTTAAAATGAAAAAAAAATCATGTTATACAATAAACCATTCAATGGCAAATAATACATGGACTATATAAAGCACAATTACAGTATATTTCACAAGTTGTTTAAACATTCATACATAATTATACGAATTTTCTGCATGTGACGAAAAGGCGATACTGTCAATTAGGGGGAGGATTAGTTAATTAAAAACAATTTATTTTAAAAGGAGAGAAGAAGAAAAGAAAATAGATATTATAGGACGTCGAGAAGAAGGAGGATTCGTGAAACGGCTTCAAAATGATGATATAGAAGGCTGATATTTGCCTATTAATCAGCCAGGATCTTCTGGCGCTTAAAGATTGCGAGGCCTATCCTCTCTCATCGACGTGAGAGATTTTTCATTTATTTTTATTTCTCGATTCTTTTCCTAAAGAATAATCTTATTTTTATCGTTCTTTCTTTCTTTTTTTTTTATTTATTTATTTATTATTATTATTATTTTATTTTTTTTTCTTTAATAATTAACCTGAATTTTTTTTCCGCTATGGTCGCTGCAATAATTTCGGAATGTCGACGATTTGTTTTCTTTTCTCTAATAAAACCTTTTTTATCAAGGTGTAATAAATAAATGATATCTCTTTTACACTGAGATTAATATTCATATGATTGGCTCGCTGTTTTGTGTTAGTTCAAGCAGGTGGAGGAGGGTGCAATTACTGCACCTGCTATTACACACACACAAGCGCGCGCGCGTGCATAGAGCTAACGAAACAATCATATGTAATTTATATTATAATTTCGAATTTATTTTTATCCCTTTCAAAAGTCTATTTAGTGAAAAAAAAAAAAAACTTAAAAAAATAGAAACGAATTTGTTGTGTGTAACTAGAAACAGTAAGTCATTGCACCGTCAGTTATTTTAACTCTCTGCTTCTATTTAAACTGATGGGCCTATAAAACATTTTGCAATTTTTAATGGACAGAGCAACATTCTCTCACCATCTATTGATCACATTTTATCATCGTATTTATATAATGTAATGTACAATATGCAGCTACATTATGATAATCAGTATGTCCAACGCATTCAAACTGACAACACCGTGGGTACTTTACGCATTTGTCTTCTTCTTAAATCTTTTTTTTTTGTCAAAGATATTTAAATTATTTAATTAATTAATTAATGTGTATTGTATGTTTCAAGAGTTTAGGTACTTTAATACAATTATTTCAAGTTTTGTTCCACATTTCTTGCGGTATCTCTGTGTAAAAAGTGTAACTATAATGCTAATGTAATAATAATTATAATAATAATTTGCTCAAGGCAATAGTCCTGTGTGGTCGTTCGATGGTGTGTGCTCACGACCATTTTTCCCCACTCCCCTCCCCCCAAAACTTCATCTGGCACAGTAGTGACAACATATGATAACCTGTTCACCCTCCACTCAAGATCCAAAAGATCTTGCGCTTCGCACACAGTGTTACTGCTCTTTTTTAAAATATTATTCGTTCGTGGGAGGGGGGACGGGTGTGCAGCTGTTTTTTTTTTTATGATGTTAATATAGCAACTGAATGTTGACAAAATAACGTTCCGATTAGCGGTTGGCATTTTTTAGTTGATTGGAGAGCCAATCTAGACCCTCATAAAGTCCATCTCCACTTGTGGCGCACGTTGCTTGTATGTACCAATTACGATTACGTAAAGAATGCAAACCCAATTTATCAGTTATTTCTGCAGCGTTCATTGCATTTGGCAGATCCTAAAATATATTTATTACATAAATAACACACAATTATTTAAAGTCATTATTTTATATGTATATATATAATACTTACTTGTTTATTAGCGAATATTAAAAGTACTGCATCTCTGAGCTCATCTTCTGCTAACATTCTCATTAACTCTTCACGTGCCTCGCCAATACGTTCTCTATCATTACTATCAACGACAAATATAAGTCCCTAAAACAATAAAGTAATGTGAGTCATTTAAAAAATCAATTATAAATAACTCCTTAAAGTAATCTGAAAAATATAACAGAAAGAAACAACATACCTGTGTATTTTGGAAGTAATGCCGCCACAAAGGTCTAATTTTGTCTTGACCACCTACATCCCATACAGTAAAACTTATGTTTTTATACTCAACTGTTTCTACATTGAACCCTGTACAAAAAAAACTATTTCATTAGTTCAGTATATTAGAAGTTAAATAAGAATAATTTGATAAAAGCATTGATCCTTGAATGATATAATGAAATATTACGTAATACATATATAGATAAAACAAAAACATATGTTTATATTTACCTATAGTAGGAATTGTTGTAACAATTTCCCCTAATTTTAATTTGTACAGAATAGTTGTTTTACCGGCAGCATCAAGGCCTACCATCAAAATTCTCATTTCTTTCTTGCCAAAGAGGCCTTTAAATAATGTTGCAAACATATTCCCCATGGTTGGTATTAGTTATGTAGATACCTGTAACAAATGTCAATTAATTAATTAAATATTTAAAACTATCTTTTATACATTGAATATTACATTTCAATCATTATCGTTATTCATTTCAAAGATCGCAGTCCATTGTATACTATTGCTCCAAATGTTTATGGAAACCTATAAGAATCCTAATTGAATATCCTACTAAAATATACCAAATAAAAAAGTACCTATTGAATCGATTTTAATTAGAAAAATATTTTATTATGCCTAGAATAATAATATAAGATGCGTAAAATACGTGACACACAATTCTGTCACAGTGCCATTATTAACTCAACATATAATTATACATAATTATACATATAATATACATATATATGTATTTATATATTATTATTTACTATTTCTATCAACAAATGAGATCTATATATAAAGGCTGCAAAGACCATTTATAATCACGATTTTATGGAATAAGATAATGACATCAAAAAGAAGTCCATTGTACTAAGAAAAGTAACAAAAAACCAAACAAAAGAAATACGCTATTGATGGTACCTTTCCAAAGTTAAATGCCCTAACTCATATTAAATGCCCACGCAAGAAAGGGACCAAATTTTGGCTACGTAAACCTTATAAGCTCATGAACGCATAGAAATTTATCATGTACTTGTCAATCAAGTCTAACAAGTTAACCTGAATACCACGATATAGAATATATAGTATATATAGTATATATATATATATATATATATATATATATGTATGTATGTATGTATATGATATGTGTATATATGCATAATATATATATATATAAAAATTGATTAAAATAGAAAAATGATCTACTGAAACATATAGTACGAATTTGGTGGAAAGTAGCAGAAAAACAGAAAAATATGAAGAAAAAAAAAGAAAAAACTTGTGGAGGCACGCACGAGATGATCACGCTGCGCGCTATTGATTCTCATTTTAATACATCGCTATGATTATCAGACTTGCATACCCTTATATATATATATATATATATTATATATATCTTTAGAGTGCTTTGCTGTAGGTTTATGCACTTTTAAAATGTCTTGGCTACTTAATATGCCAATATCGCAGTATTGCAAACAAGGCGTGGAATATCGTGCGGTTTACGAAGCCACTGCGTACACCCGGTTGTCTGTCACCTTCGACCTACTCCCCAGCGAATCGTCAAAGGTTCCACGCTCAAACTTCCATTATTTATTAAACTTGGCCTGATTATTGAGAACCCTTTATAACGACACCTTCCACGTATATATATATCACCTTTACGTTACTTACGTTTCAGTAAAAAAGACTATTTTTCACGAGAAACGATAAAACATAAAACCAACACTCTCGAAAAGTACCGTATGTCAAAATGGCGGACGTGGAAAGGATTCATGCTATATGCCACGTATAGGGTCCTCGAAATTCTCTTATTGGTTAAGCCGATCACGTGATTTTCAAAATCTATTTCGTTCAAATAAACTCTGCTAGGTGTCATGTCAGTCTCGTTCACGCGTGTCATCTTAAATCGTTGTATTTGATTGGTCGAAAAGATTTCGCAATGCCGTTTCTAATTGGTCAATGATTTTTTATTTATTAGGATTAGTAATAATAACACATGAGCATAAAATTGCTCAGTTCAACGACATAAGTGTATGTTATATATATTTTTATAGATATATATATATATAGAATTCTTTGAATTATATGTAGAATAAAATCAAATATCTAGTTTTAGTAAAGTTAAAAGTGTGTACTTTGATAAAAAGTATTATTAATTTGTAATAATTAAATATAAATATCAATATGTCGGCTATAGAAGTAACTGATATAAAAATTCCTTTTAAATTTCATACAGAAATACATGATGAATTAAAAAAAGATTTTCAAAAAATAAAAATTAATAATGTATATATAGAAGAAGCAGAGGTTGAGGTAAATTTTTCCATCATCTTTCAATTTATATTTTTACATTATATAAAGTTATAATAATTAAATTTACATTTAGAAAATATTAAATACTTTGTATAAATGGATCTATAGTACGCCAAAAAATACAGTTTATAGAGTTAATTTGTTAAAAACTACGGCCCAACAAGTAATAGAGCATTTAAATAATGTATTAAAGCAGGTAAATAAACATTTATTTAAATAAGTACATATCTTTACAGTTATATAATTCTAAAGAAATTATAATATTTAGCAGTATGTAAATCGTATGCCAACAATAACAACATTCCCTCATTTATCAGAAATAATTACAGTACACAGTTGGGACGAATCAATAAATTTAGATTTATCGAAGCGGTCGAAAGAAGTTATTGTTGATGCAATATGTGGATCAGCTGTATTAAGAGGTTCACATGTATTTGCTCCAGGAATTTTAGGAATCCCACACGGTGAATTTTCTAATAATTTACCTAGTTATTTTTAATGTGTTAAAGTATACAAATAACAATATTGTATTCATTAGGTTTAAATATAGGAGATGAAGTAAGTGTATTTGCGGATACTGTTGGGTGTTGTAAAAAAGGATTACTTAAACCATGCGAAGTCGATAGTAATAATAAAACATTCTTGGGTAATGGAATTCTTCTACAAACAAGAGAAAGTATTATTTGTAATAACGGACAAAGTGCAAGGTAGAATGTCTTGATAAAATAAAAATAAATAAATATTAATAAAATTGTAATATAACTTACGTAACTTTAGTGGAATTGCAGTACATATGAATGATGTCATTTCTCGACTCTTACAATTAAATAATAATTCAGTACCTGATGGATGGGCATTATTACAAAATTTACCATCAATTCTTTGTACTCGTATTCTAAATCCACAACCTGGAGAAATAATTCTTGACATGTGTGCGGCACCAGGAAATAAATGTACACACATTTCAACCCTTATGAAAGGAGAGGTAGAAGATTCATATAATTTATGTATATCCATTTAAAAAACTAACACTTAAAAATAAACTGTGTTATATTTTTTAGGGTACTCTAATAGCTCTTGAAAGAAACAAATCAAAATTAGATAAACTCCAATCAAACTGTGATAAATTCTCAAGTGGTAATGTAAAAATCTTTTGTTATGATTCTACAAAAGCTTGTAACAAAGATGTAAATCATTCAAATATTAACGATGGGCCACCGTTTAAAGAAAATAGTTTTGATCGTATATTATTAGACAGTCCATGCAGTGCGTTAGGACAAAGACCACAACTACTTAATAAAATTACTGCTGTGCAGCTTCGCTCATATGTATCTATGCAAAAATCATTATTTTCAGCAGTAAGTTTGATCAAAATTAAAGAATTCAATTTTTTTCATTTTCTGTCATTTGAATTATTTTTCATTGTATATATAGGCTGTTCAACTTTTAAAATCAAATGGAATCTTAGTATATAGTACTTGTACTATAACAATAGCTGAGAATGAAGGTATTGTCTCGTGGGCTTTACAAAAATATCCGTATTTAAAATTAAAATCTATCAAAGATCAATTAGATATGAAAACATTTACACACACAGGATATTGTATTGACGGATTAACAGAAAATGAATCAGAATACCTACTTAGGATAGGACCTGAACAAGATTCTATTGGTTTTTTTGTAGCATGTTTTACTAAATAAATTATAACGAAAGAATAAAAAAAATATCATTTTATTAACCTTTTGAAAGTATTAATAAATAAGAAGCATACGTATACGCTTTCGAAGATCCATCAATATAGACTACTAGAAAACGGACTTGTGAAAAATCTTTCGATTTTGTTTTTTTTTTCAATATAAATAAGAAAACTGGTGAGTAATATTAAGATTTTGTTTATAAAATATAAAATATTAAATATTAAATTTAATGTGCAAATAAAAGTATTTGTTCACATTGCAAAAATTGATTATACCGCTCTTAATGTCAATGACAGGTGCTAAAATAGTATTGCCAATTGAAGAAAAATTGCATTGAAATTTAAATGATTTTAAATTTATACATTTTTTCGATATTAATAAGAAAAAACTTATATTATCAAGTATTATTAAAAATTTCAAATAATTTTTGATGTATAATAGAAATTCGTTTTTCGTAAAAAAAGAAAATACTAAACTTCTTAATTGACTAGTTACCGAAATTGCGACCAATCATATTGCAAGTCCACTATAAAGTTTAAACGCGCGAAAATTATTCGTTTAATTACGTTGAAAACATAAATTTTATTATGGACGAAAAATAAACTGACGTGTAATTTTTTATTAACATTTATATGAATAACAAAATGAAAACGAGAAAATTGAATAAAAAAGAGCTATTATTTTATTAATTTATTGAGAAAGAAACCATAATGGAAATTTCAAATGAACATAAATACATAGGTAAGAAACGTTGTAATGAAAATTGCACGAGTTTTATTAATTTTACATGAAAACTTACGTTGTTACTAGAAAAAGTTTAGTATAATGTCTATGAAATAAAAAATCTTTCCTTTCATTACCGTTTGTTCACAATCATATTTATTATAGAAACGAAAAAGAGATAAGAAATAAATGTAATTCATGGAAACAATGTTGCAAAAAATGGTGGTAAACCTGATGCAAGAGCGAAAGATAACAATACAGCAGTATGGTATAGATAGATGAATAGATAGAAACATAGATGGATAAGAATGAAAACCATGCGCGTGGAAAAAAAATAGAGAAGAAGAAAGGAACAAGGTATGGTTGGTTCTGAAGAAACGTATAAAATGCTTCTACGAAGACATAGAGTAACGTTAATCAATAAAAATAGACATCTTGTCGACTAATCGGAAATAAATCTATTTCTAAGTAGAGGGAGATAAAAGTAAGTAGTTAAGAAGAATGAAGTTTGAGTAAACGATTTATATGATCATACTGTGAAAAAAGATAAAAAACAAAAGAGTGAAGAAAAAATAAAGAAAGAAGAGAGATTAAAGAAGAAAAAAAGAAAGAAATAGAACTAATTAAAATAGAACATTTGAAGCGTATATAATTTTGAAAGCGGACGATTGGCCGGCCTGAAGGGATTTGGCAGTTGCCCCAAGATGGCGAACTCGGTTGGCGTGCGACGGGCACGAGCTGAAAAGTATCGAGAACGCGAGAAATTCGTGATCCTGTGTTAAACCAGGAGTACCAAGGACATTCGTGGAAAGAAGAATATTCAGTGAGAAGAAGGGATCGCTCAGACACGAGAGGTAGGAAGAATATCAGTGACATAAGTGCGAATTTTCTTTGCGCGGCACGGGCCGAAAAGCCGCGCCTATCTATCGCACGCACTGCCAAGGTGCGCGCCCGATATCTCCGTCCTTTTCTCTTTCTCTCTATCTTGCTCTTTCTTTTTTTTTAATCTTTCTATTTCTCTTTAATATTTTTCTCTCCCTCACTTTCTCAATTACTCAATTTTTCAATTTTTCATTTTCAATTTTTTCATTTTCAATTTATCAGCTGGTTCCTTTTATTTGGCACATCCCAGACCTTTTCTCCCTCCGAATGTCCCGGACGTATTTTTATCCTTAACAATTATATGAAAAAGATCATCTCTTCCCTTTCTTACTCCTTCTCTCTCTCTCTCTCTCTCTCTCTCTCTCTCTCTCTCTCTCTTTCTTTTTCTCTTTCTCTATCTCTTTCATTGACCTTACAACCCTCGATAACGTTTTCTCTTTAAATACACAAATGTCGTGTTTAAAATGAAATTAACACGATGAAGTAATTTTAAGATAATGCCCAAGAGATAAAAGAGTTATGTACATATATAGTATTACTTGCTCAATGTTCTGCGCAAGGTAGATGCGGAAGAGAGACGAACCCTCGGTCTCTACCGCTTGTCATCATCATAGTGCATTTTCGCTTTCACGTCGTATTATGGAATAAACCGCTATAATGTATAAGAACTAAAATTGATGTTTCTTTTATTGCATTAGAATTCGCTGACATACTTTATTTTCATAAACGTTATTAACGAATAATCGGTTAAATTTGGAATATTTTTTGTTCTTTTTTTTTTTTTTGTCGTGTTTAAGGGAGAGAACATGAAAAAATGGGAGAGATGACAGAAGATCTATTATGTGTGTATGTACATTTGTGTGTATGTATATGTGCACATACATCGGTGTTGCGTATGCGTTAAGCTGCTCACCACCTTTTCTCGCTCGTGACTTTAGCGACGAATACGGCTAAAAGAAGAACTAAAAGCGCGTTAGGGGAAACATTGTCCCTTTTCGCGATTTATCCTAACGCAGTTCTACGCTTGTATAGACCACCATGTGTCCTCCCTTTATTTTATTCATCAAAATATAGATAGAATAACTTATAGTTAATCTAAATTTTCCGATGATACACATATCTTTATTTATTATTATATTTTATTTACGATGACAGAGGACAAACAATTGTTCGTTACATTTTTTAATTATATATTGTCCAGTATGATTCTGAATAATAATAAGATTTGTTTAGAGCAAGATTGTTTTAGAGCACGAAACAACGAATAAAAATGATGATCTATTGATCATTTTAAAGATTTATTCTATTCATTTATTTTACAAATTTTGAATACCTTTGTTACTTGTAATAATATAAAAGCATGTTTTCAATATTTTTTCTTTTTATTAAAAGAATAACATTGATTACAATATTTTTTTGTTAATAAAAAAAAAAATTGAAAATAATACGATCAATTTCCTGTAAGAATTATAAATTTATCTTCTGTAGACGTGTATAAATAATTTTTTATTTAACACAAATTATAAATTAAAAAAAAGGCATTACAATAATAAGTGTGTCTGTATCATATACAATACTCTGATCTCATTTCTTATTTTTTTAAATGAGATGACTTATTTTTTTTTAATCGATAATCAGCGTTAAGAGGGTTTCTTTAGCAACACATTAAAAAAAAATCATTCAGAATCAAATGTGATAGCAAAATAAACTTTTTTATATTACAGAAGACTTAGGAAACATTCAAATTCATACATTTTTAAACAATTTATGAACATTCATAAAAAGAACTATTAAAAAACTACAATTTAAAAAAATTCATATCTTATGAACGGCTTAACAAATAATTCGATAAAAATAATGAAGCTATTATGGAGTATAAAAAGATAATAATAATAAATCTAATCAACAATATTATTTTTTACAATAGGTTGAATTAACATAGAATTGTCCCTGGTACATAATTTTTACGAAAGAGCATAATGCAACGATGTAAATATAATCATATAATAAATTCGAAAATAATGAATTTATCCAATAAAATCCAGTAATGCTTAGTTAATACTTTGTCATTTTTTTTTTCTTTTCATTATAATTAGTTTCTTAAGATATTATTATTCAATGTCGGTAAATAAAAACTATGTGATGCAAGGTCATATAAATAAAATCAATACGAGAAAAGAACATGTTAATTTGCATTTTAATGTGCACGTGAAGTGAGCATGAGGAATAATTCACCTTTCGTTATGTTTTTACAATTTTTTTTTTTTCAGTTTCAAACTTGTTCAAATAAAATCACACATATTCTTTGTGAAAGAAAAAAAAGAAAAACAATTAAATTTGTTGTCTTCTTCGTAAAAATCAATATTATATATATTATTATTAATTAAATTATTTATTAATTATTTTATATTATATTTAAGATAATTGATTTATATAGATAATTATTTAAGATTAATTATATTATTATAAATATATTAATTATTAAATTATATTGTATATATATATATATATATATAATATAAAATATATAATTTATAATTAATTATATATAAATTAATATATAATATATATAATTTATAATACAATATAATTTAATTAATAATATATTTATATACAGGGTGGGTTCCATGTATCCCGAAAGGGAATCATTATTTTAAATAAATAATATACAGGGTGGGTCACCAAATTTTACCATCTAGATTTACGTTATTATTATTATGCGTAGCAGACAATGTTTCACATGGAGTTGAATGGCTTTGAAAGGATTTCATACTGATGGTACTTTTTTTTTTGTAGGTGGACGTGTAAAGGACATATGAAGGTCATTAATGTTTTTTTAAACGGAATCATATATTTTTTATTGCATCATCTGATGCTCTTTCATATTATTTACAAAAAAGTATTAACCTATTTGTGTAAAAAAAATTATTACTTTAGGAGAAATTTTAATTTTCATGTCTATTTACAAAATAGGTTCAATTTGGCGACCATTTGCATCAGAACACTTTCTGAATCGAGAAATTAATGACTCATTAACGTTTCTAATGTATCTGATGTTATTTTCTTGCATTCATTAACGATACGATCCCTCATATCGGCCATTGTAGTCGGAGGCTCAGCGTAAACTTTACTTTTTAAGTAGCTCTATAAGAAAAAGTCGAGGGGCGTTAGATCTGATTATCTAGCCGGAAAATGAATGGGCCCATCCGGTCCTATTCAACAATTTGGGAAGTGTTAGAGCCGCAGTTACGATAAATTCATGCGTTAGCTCTCGCGAAATCGAAAGATTTCTAGAGAATTATTTTCAGATATTATTTAATACGTTAAAGGATAATATGTCGACAAAACGTTTTCTTTGCTTTTATTCTTTTTTCGTCTTTTCAGTAACAAATACAATCAATTATTTAATCAAATCGATTAACTACGAAAAAACTATTGAATCATACAGGTGATAATTTATTAATTTAAATAACATTTGTTTAAAAACAAAACGTTGACTATGAGCCTACACATTTATTTTTCATAGATTCTTTAACAAATTGACGGGTATTTACAAGTATTGGGTTAGCAGTCAATGTGTTAAAAAAAATAAGAATATTTTATGATTGAGTAAATCTTAAAACAACAACTACGTCACTTCCTCGAATTATTCTCAGTATATGAATGTCATGTCGCGAGGTCTAATAGTGTTAACTGAATGACCAGTAGTGATAATTGATGATTATACGAAACGGAAAGCAAGAGAGTAGGAAACAGAGAACCTTGGTAAAGCAAAGAATGCATTTTGGTACATTGGCCTAAAGGAACTTTTTTTTTTTTTTTTATTAAGAATACAATGTAAATATATGAATTTCAAGAATTTAATATAATAGAATTAATTGATATTGAATAAACAGATGTAAATGTTTTTCTTTTGTTTTTTATTATTAAAGTAAATTAAAATAAATAATAATTAAAATAAATTTAATTATTTTATTTTGTATTTTAATTATATAATAATAATAATAATAATAATAATAATAATAATAATAAAAATATTATATTAATTTATAATACAAATTAGTATTTTTATTTTTAAAAACAAGCAATAAATTTAATTATTTTAATTATTATTATATTAATGAATTTTTATTTATTTATTTAATTAATTTATTTATTTTTTCTCGATTCACAATTTTATATGTATTTTAAGTAATAAAGATTAATCAACATTATTTACATAAAAATGAGTGAAAAAATACATGAGATAATTAAACATTGATTTAATTATAATTATTAAAAGATAAAATGAGAGATGCTGCGACACATGTTTCTTTTTTCTAATAAAAAATAACAATGTAATATCAACAATTTGTATTTGTTAACATTTCTATTATTATAACAGTAATATTGTTTGAGGGCAAAAATATTAAACTTTTGATATCTGAGACGAGTATCAAAAACCTTTGCCACCTCCTATCCAATAATCTTGCTCCCTGACCGCGAGATCTATTTCTATTTGTCTTCCTCTAATCTATAAATAGCAAAACTACATCGAGGTAGAGAAAATACGGTACAGGCATATATATCTCTGTTATATTGTCACGTGTACTATTTTTTTTTTTCTTTTTTATTTTTTTTCAATTTTTATTACCATCATTCAAAACATTTACATAAAGGTGTTCAATTTATAGTTCATATTAAAATAGTGGCAATTAATTATTAAGTGAATAATATGCGTTTTTTAATTACGAATGAAGTTAGACCACTTTCTAAATGAATAATCTGATTTGTTATCAAATTTCTAAGGGAATCCAACTCCATTCAACCTAATTTCAAATGTTTTAATATTAACTCTTTGAGGCACGGTGAGATTAAAAGTGTCGTCCCACCTTTTTGATACATCGTAATGCACGGTGGGACATTTTTAAGTCCCATCTCGAAATATTATTGCTATTTCTACATGTGCTCATAAGTTTCTATTTCATCGTAT